ATGCTGTGCGTGCAAATAATATCGTTAGTCTATTTCTATTTGAATGCACTAAAAAGACAAGAAATTCCAAAGATTAATAACCACACCTTCAATAGATGTTGAACTGATGCCAACACATAAGTTGCTTTTATCACAGCGAATTTTATTATCATATAAACATTCAAGAAATGAAAGCCAATTCATACAATAGATTTAACTATCATTTTATCTCTTTGTTTTTATTGACCTTGTTATATTGTATACTTTTTATCAAGTGCAATTCAAATGAATATTTTTTTCATTAGTCTGTACATTTTACTGACGATGAAATATTTCTTTCGTGTAAATTGATAGCTTTGGTATTCAAATATTGTGCAAAATAAAACTATATCTATAAAAGATAATTTATAATATATGGTACTAGTGTTAATATATTCAAAAGTTTCTATCCATTGTTAATGATGAACTATGTGTTCATTAAATTCAATTTTTTAATAGTGTACTACGTAGTTTTTCAGACAAAAGAGATAGAAACTGATTCTTTTTTGCTGTCGTAGTTCTTAAATTTAAGAAATTATGCACAAGGAGCGTTCAACAGAGATGGAACCGATTTGAGTTTTTCACAACCGCTATTGACACTGGTCGATCTACTGATTTCTACCCGATCGTTCTGAAATCTATGTCCTACACCCACACCCGAGTGTTAAAGATTTTTATGAATTCATAGACCATTTTTTATGAAACCAAAAAGATGTCAAATAGTAAAGCATTAGAGTAGTGTTAGAGAAACTTGTACACATTCTTGAAACACGATTAGTCTCTTCATTTTAGGATAGCAGGGACTGCTATATTGCTCTTTTCAATGTTTAATGTGCGCACATGTGTCATAGTCCACATTTTGCTTAAGTAGATTCGTAGACTTTACATGTTCGAGAAAAATCTCTCCGATGTACGCATCGTGGAAAAACAATTCAAACGGAGGGATACGAAAGCAATATTTTACCAAATCATTTCGCATCCAGATAAAATCGAGTGCACCTACTCTTTCAATCATGGTATATCCGCGTGATTCGGCGACAATACGTAGTGCACCTGCTGGCGCACCAAATGCACATTGTTGAAATACGAATGTAAAATTATTAGGAAGCGAATCAGAACAATTAACAGTTGGATCCAATAGAGTTAAAGCATCTCTAATATGATAATTTGAATTGAACTCTGTTGTAATGATTAGTGGTCGGTATCCCTCTTGTAAGATAGAACGAATTACCCATAAATCATGTTATAATCAGTTTTTTTCGGAACATTGTTCTCTGTAAAAATCCATGCGATATTATTCGTAAAGAGATCATGTTTATTCAAGTTTATCATATTATTTTCATAATGGCCATCTAGCAAAAGACAGCGCCAACCTTTTTCATATAAAATATGAGTATTGGCACCTGTTCCATTTCTGCTATAACTAGGTTCATTGAAACCAAATTCAACAAAATATTGGTAAAATATTGCTTTCGTATCCCTTCGTTTGAATGGTTTTTCCATGATGCGTATCGTATATCCAGCTAAGATCTGCAGTGCACCGAGTAGTGTCCAATGGACTCGTACTCGATGATGAGCTTCCTTTCGCTAATGTCATTAATAGTTGTGTTAAACTAAACGGAATGGTTTCACTTCTTGAATGAAGTAGTGATATAAAAACAATAAGTGGTATTATGATAATCATGGCTCCGAAAGTGGTGGTGCAAATTAAGCGTGTGTTCATCTGTCTCATGTACTTTTTAGAGGCTCAGTTGTTCACGAGTAGTATTCATTGAATTTCGGTTCAGTTTTTCCTAGAGTGAAAGAAGATGAAATATGTGTGAAGGTAGAAGCCATGCGTTATTGTATTCAAAGTCTACTTGGATTGAAATCGATTGTTCTAATATTTTTAAACCTAGCTAGTATCTTGCCCTTGTTCCGGCTGTATACTGATATGAGTCTGAATATACTAATATGCACTAGTATCTTCATAATATGCTACAATCTGCATGAAGTGTGCAATATCTGGCGATCTGAAGACGCCATGTAAGAGATCGCAGCTTCATGGAATCGTGACCATGAATCTGTCTATTAGTATTCAAAGAGAGAAAAAAAATGAAAAAACATATAAAAAAAATAAAAACGTCTCAGTCATTTCCCCTATATAATCCGCGTTATAGTTTCTCTGGGAAACGTTGCAGCAGTGTCAAACGTCAAAGATGAATTGAAGTATTGAAAAGCTATTTTAACTATTCAATTATTCTGAGGCACTATACGTATTATCTGGAATGCTACAGATAGACTACTCGGGATACTACATATATTACCAGGAATGGCACAAATATCCCCATGCATACTACAAATGTTACATCAGACTCTACAGGAAGCATCTGACATGTTTCAATGATCACGGCAAAATAGCATTTGTAACCGAACGGGTAGCATGTTCAAGTAGCTTCGAAAAAGTTATAGTTAGCGTGGTCCAAACATGCCACACTTCCACTACTGCGTACAGAGAGAGACGCTCATGGGTCGAAGCTCTTTGGAGGGCGGAGGGGCGCTCATCCGTAGTGAATATTCATAGAAGCATTGAATTGTTAAATATTTGAACTTCAACTATTCAAATATTTGAACTTCAAGTGTTATATACTGAGTGAGCCAAAAGTTTTGCAACATTTTTTTTCTCTCTTTGAATACTAATAGACAGATTCATGGTCACGATTCCATGAAGCTGCGATCTCTTACA